AATAACATGGCAAGGAGACTAATATAGTTGAAGCAGAAGAGTTACAGGAAAAAGTAATAAGAGCTGAGGAATAGGCATTTGCTGAACTTCAGCTCTATGCAGGGTACTAAGCTGGAGGATGGAGGGGCAGGGGTGTTGATAGGCTCTCAACAAGTAGAAACGAGGAGGAATGTATGATAGGGCTTCCTCTGTGGCTCAGTGGTTAAAAAAAAAAAAATCTGCCTGCCAACGCAGGAAACATGGGTTCAATCCCTGGGTCGAGAAGATCCCCTGGAGAAGGAAATGGCAGCCCACTCCAGTATTCTTGCCTAGAAAATCCCATGGACAAAGAAGTTTGGTGGGCTATAGTCCATAGGATCACAAAGAGTCAGACACGACTTAGCAACTTGAGCACATGTACATGGGGGTATTTGAGGAATAATGAGAAGTAACAAATGGTTCAGAATGAGTGAAGAGAATAAAGAAGCTGACAACAGAAAGGCAGAATATGCTCTTTAGCAAAGGAAGGATCTGGTGAAACTATGTTTTAGAAAAATTAACTGGTAGTAAGAAGTACCAGAGGGGAAAGAATGGAGTTTAGTGGGGCAGCTAAGAGGCTACTGCTATAATTCAGGCACAGAGAAATGAATGCCTTGACCAGTGACAGAGAATATGAAAAAGAAGTGCCCCCTCCAAAGTGTTCTGGTTTTCACATCACTGTTTAGCTTGGACAATGTGACTGTTTCTGAGAAGGTCCCCTCAAACCTGAAGCACAGCGCCTTTGTGGCGACTCCTGAGAACTGTTTCAAAGGAAGAAGCTGTACTCAGCGGCTCTCCAAAGAACCTACAGATTAAGTTGGAGAGAACTCTCACACCGTATACAAAAATAAGCTCAAAATGGATTAAAAAATTAAATGTAAGATCTGAAACCATAAAACTTCTAGAAGAAAACATAGGCAGTGAACTCTTCAGTATCAGTCTTAGCGATATTTTTTGGGATATGTCTACTCGGGCAAGGGAAGCAAAGCAAAAATAAATGGAACTACAGCAAACCAAAAAAGTGTTGCACAGTGAAGGAAACAATCAACAAAATGAAAAGGCAGCCTACTGCCTTTGGCAAATGATATATCTAAAAAAAGGATTGATATTCAAAATATACATAGAACCTATACAACTCAACATCAAAAAACAAACAACCCAATTTAAAAATGGGTAAGGGGCCTAAAAAGACATCTTTCCAAAGAAGACATGCTCTGTCAACAGGCATATGAAAAGATGCTCAGCATCACTAGTCATCAGAGAAATGCAAATCAACACCACAATCACTTGGCACCTGTCGGAATGGCTGTTATCAAAAAGACAACAAATAACAAATAACAAGTGTTGACAAGAATGTGGAGAAAAGGGAACTCTCACACACTGTTAGTGGGAATGCAAATTGGTGCAGCCACTGTGAAGAACAATATGGAGTTTCCTCAAAAAGTTAAAAATAGAGCTACTATATGATCCATCATTTCCACTCCTGGGTGTTTATTTGAATAAAAAACACTAATTTTAAAAGATATGTGCATCCCTATGTTTATTGTAGCATTATTTATAGTAGCCTAGATATGAAAGAAACCTAAGTGCCCATCAATAGATGAATGGATAAAGAAGATGTGGAATATTCTTTATGGACTATTACTCAGCCATAGTAAAAAAAAGAAGTAAATCCTGCCATCTGCAGCAACATGGGTAGACCTAGAAGCTATTATTCTAAGTGAAATGAGAAAGACAGATACTTTCATATTTCACTTATATGTAGAATCCAAACAACAAAACAAATGAACAAACGTAACTAAACAGAAACAGAGTTATAGAGAACAAACAGGAAGTGTAGTAAGGAGAGCAGAGAAATAGCTGAGGAAGAGTAAAAGGTACAAACTTTCAATTGCAAAACAGAAGTTGGAAAGAACTTAGCAACACTGACCATGTGTCTGCAGGGAAGACTGGCATTTTCCTTCACAGAGGTGCCATGTTTCAGACTTGATTCTTCAGCTTTACAGAATCAGAAAGTTGGTCTCATCAACATCCTCTCAGAGATAGACTCACCTTATCAAGCTCAAGACTAAAGAATATTTTAGAGGAAATATTTTAGAGGAAAAACCATAACCACTATAATCACCAAGAAGAGCAGAAGCTTGACAAATGTATCCTGCCTTCCTGCCACTGGGACTCCTCACTGAGCTAGCACGCCTCTCCTCTGTGCTATGCTTGGCTGATCACGGCCAGCATCTACCGCGCTTCCTCCCTTTCTCTGTGCTCCATTTCTGGGCAACCATCTGTCCTTCTAATGGATCCATTCATTCTTTGGATGAGCCAATACCATACATAGGCTCCAGCCAAATCTTGCTTTGGTCTGTAAGCCATTCTTTTTAAAGTGATTGTTTTCCATTGACTTCATCACTCTGTATCAACTTTATTCTTTAACTATCTGAGGAAACCGCTATTTTTCTTATTTCCAGATTCTTAATGGGGAGATACTTTGCTCTGTCCCCATACCCATGGTAGGAATTTTCTAATCTTTTACCATTTCACTGGGGAGGAAAAAAGAAACACTTCTCTTCTCCAAAATTCTGTTGTTTGAACTCAAAGCAGTATCATCTGCTCTACTTTTTGAGATCCTTTTTCCTACTTCATTTATTTAGTTCTATATCTGCCTCCTTCTACTTTAATAACTGCTTTGCTTATTTGAAGAGAAGCTGTTCAGTCATTTCCCTACTTATTACTCAAGTTGAAGTCCAGACTCAGAAAAATTACTTCTTGTTTTTCCTATGACACAATAAATTTCCCATTATTAAAAAGAACATTTCTCCTCACTTATGAGGAGCATTTATTTGACAATGACTTCATATTTATCACTGTAGTACCTGAAAACATAGTGGAGTAGATGAGAGTTTAAGGAGAAGTGGTCAAGAATAATGTTGCTTTATAAACTCATTAAGGTAAAGAGTATCATATACCTTTGATAGTATTTCAACTTCTATGTAGTACATAATTAATATTATTGCTTGATGGAATGAGTTCATTAGCTAATGAATCCTCATAACTATTCACAGAAGATGGTAGAAGTTTTTTTTTAAGTGAAAGCATGTTTATTTAGAGAGATTAACATCCCACAGGCAGAATATGGTCCACCTCAGAAGGCGAGCGTAACCAGTGGTGAAGTTTTAATTATACTGGGCCAAAGAGAAATACATTTGGTGCCCCTTTTCAGCCACATAATAAGTTGATAAATATGACATGAAGTCACTTAAGTCTCACCACACTTTCCCTGTGTGGGTGCCAACACGTTGGACTGAAGCCCTTTGTTCCCTGTGGAGAGTCTGCCACCTCTGCAGACTTGTCCTCAGGAATGTCGTTCTAGAAATAAACCAGCGTTCTCCTCGGGGTCCATGAGTCATACATAGAAGTTAATTCATTGGAGCGACTGATTTTTCTTAGGCCCTTTGTAAAAGTATTTCTGAGAGTCCATCATGGTAAGGCAAAAAAATCCAGGTTCCTCTTCAGTTTCTTTCCAGCTCTTGTCTCATTTCCTCTCTCTATGCTTCCTCTATCACCTTATATTTGGTTTTTACTGACAAACTTTATGTCCAGATCCAGATCCCAATTCCTGAGCTAGGTTGCCTAAAGAAGGAAATAGACCAGCAAAGTCTCATCACCCCCCCCTTCCTAGTCCCATTCATTCAGATTGGAAATCAAATCACACTCCACCAGACCATCCCTGTCTTCTTGGCTGCTAAATCACACTTGTGAGATGTAGTAAACCAATGGCAAACTTGTATAATTCTGTATCAGAAGATGGAGCTTATAATTCATCTTTTCTCTCTTAGTCTTTTTAAAATTTATGTTTTATAACAGAGGAAATAATTGAATACATTTTCACTGTGAAACAATAGCATAAAATTGAAGACCTCATTAAGTAAGTACTTAACTTGCATTGTGGATATGAGAGTTGGACCATAAAGAAAGATGAGCGCTGGAGAATTGATGCTTTTGAACTGTGGTGTTGGAGAAGACTCTTGAGAGTCTCTTGGACTGCAAGGAGATCCAACCAGTCCATCCTAAAGGAAATCAGTCCTGAATATTCACTGGAATGACTGATGCTGAAGCTGAAGCTCCAATAATTTGGCCACCTGATGCTAAGAACTGACTCACTGGAAAAGACCTTGATGCTGGGAAAGACTGAAGGCAGGAAGAGAAGGGGACGACAGAGGATGAGATAGTTGGATGGCATCACTGACGTGATGGACATGAGTTTGAGCAGGCTCTGGGAGCTGGTGATGGACAGGGAAGCCCGCTGTGCTGCAGTGCATGTGGTTGCAAAGAGTCGCACATGAGTGAGTGACTGACCTGAACTGAACTTGAATTGCTATATTATTTTTGGCTGTTTTTGTATTCTAAAATTTTTTCAAATACAGAAAATACATAAATACAACAAAATTCAAATGTATAGAAGTATGAATAATAAAAAGTGAATGTGTCTCAGAATTCTGCTCTATTTCTACTCCTGTTCACTATTAATAATTTAATAGTGGACTTCCAGAGCTCTGCAAAAGGCATTTCCATACATATGTATGTACTTAGGCTAACAGTTTTATTTTTATATAAATGAGTCACACTATACTCTGTTCTAGAACTTTCTTTATTCACTGTCTCCTAGCTTTCCATGTCAGTACATTTAACTTTGTTAACAGCTATATAATACTCCATAGTCTATGCCATAATTTATTTAAATATTTCCCTATTGATGGACATTTGAATTGCTTCCTGTTTGGGGCTTTGATTATTTGTTTTTGCAACAATGCTGTGCTGAATATCTTTACATATGTCTCTTTAGGTACTATTCAAGAATGTCTATAGGCTAGATATCTAGAGGTAGAATTGATAGGTTCAAAAATGGGTGCTTTTAATATTTTATATTTTTCAAAATTTGTAAGTAAAGAATTAAACACTAACTACTGTTTCCCTTTCTTCTGCAGAGAGTCCTATCCTGGCAACTGACATTGACCTTCAGACTATAGACAGTGATATTGTCAGCATGGAGATTTTCTTCAAAGCCTGGCTGCATAACAGCGGAACAGATCAAGAACATGTTCACCTTCTTCTTCCTTCACGGAGTATCAGCAACATTTCCAGAACCAGAGATGATTCAAGTACACTCTCCCTAAAAGATATATTACATAGACAGTGATTATCCTAGTCTAGAATTAGGATTGGAAAGTCATCAGAATACAGAGTAGTTGAGGTTTAGGGACTGGAAGAGGAGTGGATGAGGCTGTCCAATGTCAGCATGAGAATTTCTAAACTTCTAATTTTCAATTAGGAAACTGAACCTGATTAAACCCAGACAGCAAGAGCCAGTTAGTTTCAGTGTAAAGACTTAAACACCTCAATAATAGGGCATCTGCTACACTACATGAGAGAGCAATGAATCACATGTTTTCTCAAGTTTTCATTTTTGATGTGGCAGATATTATTGACATAATTTCAGGTAAGCTGACACTTCAATAACATGAATAGGGCCTGTAAGGAGAGGAAAAGAACCAAAATTAAATGATTAAATAGAGACCTTCTCAATAGGAAGACACCAAATTGAAGGAAACTAAAGCAACTATAGAACGAGCCCCAGGGAGTTCAACTAGTGGCCTTAGACAATGTTAACGAAGTACGTTCTGGCAATTGTGGAAACCAAGAGGTCAGTTCAGTGTTGTAGGCATGCTAGCAAGGTCCTGGATACTGTTCCAGCTGGCAGTGATACCTAATTCAGGTCCCACTAGATTGTAGAGATAAAGCCATTTCTAGTCTCCACCCCCTTTGAAGGTGGGCCTAAGACCTGAATGGCAGGGCCTGAAAATGGACCCATCAGTATAGTCAGCCACAGCTTCAAAGGGAAAAGACTAAATTATGTCTTCACCTTTAGGAGTGGGCACTTAATGAGAAAAATGGATACCGACTTCTGTCACCAAAGAGGAGGATACACCGTGGTCCTTTCTTTATAGAGATAGCCACTGGGTTCTTAATTTATCTCCTCTTCCCCCCCATTTCAGTCTAGGACCTGGGATACCTTTAACAACTTCTCTTGATTTTACTGTCTTTCCTTTGTGTGTAAAACCTTCACAAGGCCTCCATTCCACCTGCTTTGCCCAAGACCAATTGCTCACTTCTTATCTATTTTTCCCAAACACTGTGTTAACTCCTTTCCTTGCATTATCCTCTTTCATCTTCATAACAACATGATGCAGGTACTGTTATCACATGCCATTGCATCTAAAAGTCAAAGTGTTAGTCACTTCAGTCGTGTCTGACTCTTTGCGACCCCATGAACTGTTGTTGCCCATCAGGCTCCTCTGTCCATGGAATTCTCCAGGCAAGAATACTGGAGTGGGTTGCCATTCTCTTCTCAAGAGGATCTTCCCAACCCAGGGATAGAACCTGGGTCTCCTGCATTGCAGGCAGATTCTTACCATCTGAGCTACCAGGGAATCCTGCTGCTGCTGCTGCTAAGTCACTTCAGTCGTGTCTGACTCTGTGCAGCCCCACAGACATCAGGCCACCAGGCTCCCCCATCCCTGGGATTCTCCAGGCAAGAACACTGGAGTGGGTTGCCATTTCCTTCTCCAGTGCATGAAAGTGAAAAGTGAAAGTGAAGTCGCTCAGTCGTGTCTGACTCTTAGCGACCCCATGGACCGCAGCCCACCAGGCTTCTCCATCCATGGGATTTTCCAGGCAAGAGTACTGGAGTGGGGTGCCATTGCCTTCTCCCCCAGGGAAGCCTAAACGGTGTCAGTTATAAGATATAACATTATTTCACATACCACCAAGAAAGAAAAACAATTCCAATTAAATGTGACACATTGCTGTTTATCACTTAGAAATATTACTTTATTCTTACTGAGAGAGTTATTTTAGGTTAGAGTAGTAAGTAAGGGTTAAGAGTGTCTGCCTGGTCCATGGTGATTATAAGACATACATAGAGACACTAGTAAGTGGGGAAAAAAAGTGTCTTAAAATCAATGAATATAATATTATCCCTGTTTACAGATGAGAAAAGTGTCACCCAGAGGAATTAAATGTTTCCCCCAGAATATTAATATTAATAGAATATTAATAGCCAAGCCAAAAGCAACTCTGAATCCCATTCTTAACCCTTAGGATTAGAAATCTATATTTTATACATTTGATTACTCTCAGCCCAGAGGATATTCATCAAACCTCAGACAAACCCTGGTGACAAACCCTGGTCTGTCACCTCCAGAGCCTGGGCCCTTACCTACCATGCAACCTGCATCCTTCTGGGCACTTCTCTCAATAGGAGCGCTAGGGCAATCCAGAGCCAGGATCTCTTGCAACCAGCCTTTCTTCTGCTGCTGCATGGCATTTTCCCATTGTAATATTGAGAATTCTCTGCTTTGCCCTCTCTTTTCCCATGGGTTTCAACACCAGGGTCGAACCCAGAATGTTTATCTCCATCTGCAGTTATTTTTTGGGAATCCACAGGTCTTCAGGGTGGGTGGTAGAACTTAGATCTAGGATGGTGGCAAAACTGCTGAGAGCATCTTCACTGGAGTCCAGATGCTCAGGCACAAGTTGGAATGAGGTCCAGAGAAGGCAGGCCTCTACTGGGGTGGGTAGGACCCACCTGAGAGCTTAAACAAGTGCAATAGAGACCATATTATAGTTATCCATTGTTTACAAAACTGATGCACTGCTCTTTATGTGAATTTCTAGAAATGTGTTTCCCTAAGGAAAAAGAAAAAAAGCTAATTAAAACTCTGAGCTCTCCTAATATATAATCTTTTGAGAACTGCTCCTCAGATGTTCACTCTGACTTCTCCTTACAAGGTTCTCCACCCAACACTACCTGCTTCTGTAGCCATCTCGGGTCCTTCCCCCTCTCCCTAGATGCTTCCTCAGAGGCTCTTTCTGACAGAGCACCATCTGCCTCAGATGAACTTTTCTCATTCTTGGTCTCTGCCGTCTCTGCACCTGGGTCTGAGTGATGAGAAGCCTACCTGGTTCTAGACTCAAACCTGCTAAAACATCTTTCCCAGCTCTGAAACATTGCTGAGACTACGGTTCCAGTAGTTCTCATCCCTGGCTACAGTAAGAATCAAATGAGGAACTTTTAAAAAAATACCAATATCAGCTCCAGCCCCAGAGATCCCAGTTTTGCTGGTGTGAGGTAGGGGCCAGACATCCACACCAGACAAGTTCACTATGTGATTCTTACTGCAGCCAAAGTCAAGAACCTCAGCCAGATGAGCACAGCCGTCTAATCCTAAAGCCCAAGAACCCGACAATGAAGCAGTCAGGCACAGAGGGAATAAGGGGAAGCTGGAGTCCTAGGCAGAGTCCCTCCTAATGACTTCCTGGGCTCTGGGACACAACTGGCCAAGAGCTGTCTCATCCAGAAATGATGTCCAGGTCTGGTTGCCAGGCCCAGCTAGACCTGTTTTTTCTACATTATTTCTACTTTTGTTTTTACCTCATGTTGCCGGTACTTCAGTCATTTCATAAATCACTGACATCAACAGCTAACCTTCTCACAAGTACAGAACACTCATATATTCATAGTTTGTTAACAGTACTTAAACCCAATATACATTTCATTTAAAACTTTCGTAATATCAAGGATTCAAATCTAGAGCAACAGAACATTGTACACTGTGACATGTGAATATGCTTGCTGGAGAAGAAGCTTATGGATGCATAAAAAACCTCCATGAATAACCCATACATAGTTGAAACACCCTCAGAACTGTTGTATGTTGCCACAGTGATGTTGCAAGGTCCAAAAGGTTCTATTCACTTGGGGATTTATAAAATAAACTGTTTCAGGAACTTAGTCCTCCCCCTACCTCGAATGTCCTGGAAGAACTCACAGAGAAGCAGTAGCTCTCAGCTGACTGCCTGACTTCTGCTTTCCTGCTCTTCCTTCATCTGACCTGCAGTCTTGCCAAAGCTTAGCCACAGGGAAGCAGGAGGGGCAGAATTTCCTTCTGTGATTGCCAAAAGGCCCCGCATATTACAGTGTTAACTGCCTCCTCCACAGAGGACACACATTCCTCTCGGACTCAGTCACAAGCCAGATCTCTCACTGTGAGGAAACTTTTTCAGCCAGTCCAGAAGTAAAACAAGAAAAAACTCATGTCACACCCAGAAAATAAAGTTACCTGTTATGTAGAGCAATATTATTTCAGACCTGCTCCTCTGTCCACTTCCCTGCCTCTCCCAACCCTTACTTGTCTGGTGGACGTGGAATGGGTGGCAGATGATCTCTCTTAATCATATAGCCTGAGGTAACTTGTGACAAACGATCCCTCCCCAAATGCTGTTTTTACTGTAGTGTGCCTGAAATGTGATCTTCAAGAGCGACTTCTCAGCCCATCCCTACTCCCTGGAACAGCTGATGGCTCTTTGAGGATGGATGACCCCAAAGGAGACTTCAGCACCCTCTACCAGATGGTTTCCCATTCATCAGCCTCTTGTTACAAGCTCCGGGTGATCAAGTATGGGCCAAGAGAACCCCCCTAATGCATGCAAATATTTATTCTTATTGGTTCCAGCTAGGAAGACTAAGATAGAGGGAGGGCATGGGCATTCCCCAAGTGTCAGGCAGCAGGGGGTCAATTCCAGAGTAGCAACTGCAGGTGTGGGCATGAAATAGCAAGGTCAGCCTGCTCAATATGTGGAGATAAATGAGGAGACAGTGAAAGACATGTCTCAGTAGAATATTCTAAAGTCTGGATGAAGACTGGAAATCCAGAAAGTCTCTGAGAATGCAGAGGAAAAAAAGATAAACAGAATGATGTTTATCCATTCAGCAAATATTTATTGAACACCTAATATGTTTAGACATTGGGAAAGAGATCTGATCTTCAAGGAATGAGTGGCACCTAGGATCTACCCCACTTTTCCATTTCTTTAAGTACTAGAATTCTTGTTTCCAAGAGAATCAGTTCCACAGCTGAATTAGGAATGATGGCAAAGACCACTTTTACTGCTTCCTAGTTCTATCACAGTGCCCATGTACAAGTATCTGAGTAAGCTTGTCTATGGACTTGGGACCATGGATGCTGCTGGGGAAACTGCTTAAATGCAATCTCTTCTTAACTGTGTCTTTCATCAGCATCTTGCCACAGAAGAACCAGATCTGGGATGCAGATCATTAGTATACTGTTGTGTAATGTGGTTGCTGCAGCAGGAATGAATGGGACAGAATGAGCTCAGGAGAGGAAATACCCATCAGAGTCGTGAGGTCTCAGGATAGGTGCTGCATTCCTTAATTCACAGTTTTGAGACTCTGCTGTGTGCCACATACCCTGATAGGTACATCATAAACTGAGTAATTCACAGGCCCTAACCTAAGGGATTTCACAATAGGGTCTTAGCCTGAAGCTAAATTTAAGTGGACCTGGGCCAAGGTTCTGGATACCACTAAGGAACCTCACACTTCCATTGTCTCTTCCCAGGGCTGTAAAATCCAGTGGGGTCTGCGAATCACTGACCTATGGGCTCCCCTTCATCCTCAGACCCACAAGCTGTTGGCAGCTGGAATGGGATGAGCTGGAAACAAATCAGCAGCATTTCCATGCTTTGTGTCACAGCCTGCTGGTGAGTACCCATGTCACCAGGTGATGAAGAGAAGAGTGTTAATGCTGAGAGCGCATGTCACCAGATGGTGAAGAGTGTTAAAGTACCCTCCCTAGGAAAGCAGCTAATTTAATCCTGCCCTGATCCCAAATCTGTCCCAGTCTTCCAGAGGATAGAGAAAAACTGGACATACTTTGAAATATGGATTAAGTATGACTTGCCTTTGTTGGTTTCATGCTATAGCGAATAATTCCTGAATTCAGTTATATGACTAAACTTGAAAATCCCTGATTTTACATTTTATTGGCAATAGGGAATTGTCCTTAAGTAACTATATCTTAAACCCTATTTTTTCCTATCACTATGCCGGATATTATGGTTTATTTCAATGAAGAACACTTAGTCTATGCTAGAAATTGTGCTAAGTCCAGGTATTCAGTCTGTTATGGTAGACATTATCTGCGGTCTCAAAATCTTTCTAATGAAAGAGACAGAATTAAATATGTATATTGTTAATTGTGAGAAGTTTATGAAGGAAAACAAGGGCTTGCTATAATAGAGCTTCTCTATGAAAGCAACAATTAAGCTGAGATCTGCCCGATGAATGGGAATTAGCTAGGTGCAGGGTGTCAGGAAGACCATTCCAGGTGCAGAGAAATGCATATGCAAAGACCCAAAGGCCAGAAAGAGCTGATCCTCAAATCAAGAATGGAATGATCATTGTGACTGAAACAAAATGAGCAACAATAGTGAGAGCCAGAAGGCGAGGAGCTAAAAGTGAGCAGGGTCAAATCATACAAGATTTGTAGCCCAAACTGAGGACGTGGGGCTTTAGGTACAGAAAGAAGTCATTAGAAATGACATCATCTATTTAAATGTTTAAATGATTAATTGTGCCAAAATTTAGAAATGAACTTTCCCAAGCAAAAATGAAAACAAGAAAATGAGGTAGGAGGGCACTGATGTAGTCTAGGCAAGAGACAGTTTTGGCTTGGAATTGGATACTGAAGTCAAGATGAGAAAAGTAAAGCAATTAAAGTAGTATTTTAGAGAAAGAGAACTTGTGAAGGAAGAGGAAAGTATCAAATAACTGCCTGGTTTCTGGTTTACCATTTCCTGAAATGAAAAATCTAAAAAGATCATATACATGAAACAGTAATACAACACTGAGAAAGCAAAATGAAAAAACTGCAAATACAATTCAGGGTTCGGTACAACTGCTTAGTGGATACAGAATAACAGTTTGACCCAGGAGGATAGGGGAGATCAAGACAGCACAATAATGTGTCTCTTTCACTATCAGAAGCAGACTTCTTTTTTCCTGTTTCAAAGCCCACACTCCCTTTTAGGTCCACCCACTGAGTTCCTGTTTCCTATCTGACTGAACACCCATCTCCTATCTTTGCAGAGCAGAGGCAACAGAGACCTCCTGACTGTTAAAGCCCAACGGCTCAGTTTACTATACTCTACCTGACTCCTCAGGATCTTGGAGATCTACTGGGGAGAAATTTCTCTCAAGGGGCTTCAGTACATTCTTTTGTACATGATATCTTAAACAGACATTTGCATTTTAAAACACTGATAGAGGGAGTATAAATTTTCTGAAAAGTGGTAACCTTCAACACTTTAATTCCATGACCAAGAATACAGCCCAAGAAAACAATGAGAAAAGAGAGAGAAGATATATGTATGGTCATGTTTATCTCAGTGTTATTTACAATGGTAAAAAACTGGAAACAACTTTAATGTCCTAAGTAGAGGAATGGTTAAATTGGAATAGGGGAAAGGTTAGAGGAACAATAATTCACCCAAGCAATGAGGTATTATGTAGCAATAATAGTTTATAATAAGGTTGGGAAAGAATATTCTTTTCCATCCTGGCTTACATTACATGAGATTAGAGTCTCTCTGCCTCTGAACTTGGGGTGTGAGAATCCATGTTTATTCGTTCAACAAATATTTATTGAGTGCTTCCCAGGTGGTTCAGGGGTAAAGGATCCGCCAGCCAATACAGAAGACATAGAAGACTCAGGCTTGATCCCTGGGTTGGGAAGATGCCCTGGAGTAGGAAATGGCAACCCACTCCAGTATTCTTGCCTGGAGAATCCCATAGACAGAGGAGCCTGGCAGGCTGCAGTCCTTGAGGTTGCAAAGAGTCAGACAGGACTGAGCAACTAGGCGTGCATTTATTGAGCACTATGCGCCGGATATAGTTGTAGAGGCCAAAGAGACCTCTTCTTTATCACTCCTCTCTCATGGAAACTCACAAGTATGTAGTTGATCCAAGTCTAGCAGATACCCATTTCCGTAAGAGCTAGTCACTTAACCAAGTGCTTTGCATATCTTAACTCATTTAATCCTCACAGTAATTCCATGAGATAGATTGTTATCCCTATTTTTACAGATAGAGAATACTGAAGAGATCAAGTGACTTACCAAAGGTCACACTGCTACTGCAGTGATCTAGTCAGAATTTGAATGTGGTTCTGCTGACTACATACTTTTTAAAAATAGATCTCATACTTTTAACTCCTCAGCTAAGTTTCTAATACAGTGTAGCCAGATACACACAGACTACAACACCAAAGCTAGTTCTTCTCCCTTCGCTTCATACCCCGTGCTTGGTGCTTCACTGGACTCGAGCTCGCTCAAGCCGTGGTAAGTGCCTAGCTCCTTACCCACGCTGTGCCTCTTGTGCTCCGCTTCATCAGTCGAAGCCCACTCTCCTTTTCCAGAAAGGAAAGAAGCAAAATAGTGTTTGAATGGCTCTTCCTTCTTGCTTCTCACATAGCATCTCCACGCAGCAAAAAGCCTGAAAGGCAGTGTGTTATGGAGGGAAAAATTCACAAGCTTCTGTTCAGTCATTCAACACCAAGTGTTTTTGGAGTTCCTACTATGTGACAAGACTTAGAGTTTTAACCTTCCTGATCCTATTTTTACAAGTTCTCAGCACTTCTTTAAGCCCATCCTAGGTTTAATTCTTTCTCACACCTCTTTCATACGTTCTTTGAAAATCTGATGTCATCGGCTCACCATGTAAATCTTTTGACTTCTTTTTTTTTTTTTACTTCTGTTTCTCACTTTGTTGTTTTCCCTCCAGCTAACTTCTCATTCTAACTTCTGTCTTTCTGTTAATAGCAGCACCACCACTGTCTACTCACCCAGGCTTGAAACCTCAGTCACTTTCAGCCTTCTCACCCTTTACACGCATTTCATTACTAAGTCATGTCAAATTTTTTCTCATGAGTTGTAACTGTTCTTCTCTTCCCCCTCCCACTGCTTATTCTCACCGACTTCTTCAATAAACTCCTAATTAGCTTCCCTATGTCCAATCTGTCACTCTTCTAATTTGCTCTGTTCTTTAGGTCAGGTTAATCTTCCTGAAGCATTCCCCTAATGTCACCTGATTACTTATGTCTTGCCTGCCCTAAGACCATAACATCTATTGTGTGTATTTTTTCCTCTCTCTCTTCTTATTATCTGAGGTCAAGTCCCCTGCCCCTCTTTCCTTTAATATCACAGTAACCGCTTAACTCAGCTCAATGTTTTTAGTGTTTCCCTGTCCCAGTCCATTTTCCATACTGCTACAGATTAATCTTCTTGAAACAGCACTGATCCTGCCACTCTTCAGCTTAAAACTATATTAAAGTCTATATTCCTTAGCTAGGTATTCAAACTCCATCCTTGCCTCCCGTTATTCTCTTTCCTATATCATACAGTCCAACCAAATTAATATACAAACTTTAAAATCACCTCACCATTGAACTTTTGTTTATGTTATCCCTTCTATCTCCATCTATTCAAATTCTACCTCATTCTGAAGGACTCAGATCAGATGTTGCTTCTGCAATGAGGCCTTTCTGGATGCCTATATTTACCACTAGACTTTGTGCATTCTGTTTCTTTTTGGATAAAAGTATATTTCAATTTGTTTTTAAAATATATGATCCTATGATTTTGGTTAAAGCCTATGATATAAATTTGACTACCCAGACTCTAGGAAAACATGGTTGCCTTTTCCTGAAATTTCTACCACTTCCTCATTTTACCAACTAACTCCTCAGCCTTATTCAAATTTAGGTTTAGAGTAGAAACTCTTCTTTTGCTATCTCTTTTTGTTGGGAGTCAAGATCAGGCAGTCTTCTTTTCTTTTTCTTTTTATTTTCTCATTTTCTTTATTTGGTAGGAATATTTTCAATATAATTCAAGCAGTACTTTCTGCCAATAATGATTTTATTGAAAACAAGCAGCTTTTCATTTTTATTTGTAGTTCCCATGATTAGAACAGTACATGAACACAGCAGGTTCTCAATAAATGCCCATAAATACCATTTGAATTTTTTATTTTTGTGTGTTTAATTGGATGATAATTGCTTTATAGTATTGTGTTGGTTTCTACCATATATCATGAATCAGCCATGGGTGTACGTATGTTCCCTCCCTCTTGAACCTCGCTCCCACCTCCCACCCCATCCCACCCCTGTAGGTTATCACAGAGCATTGGATTTGAGCTACCTGCCTCATACAGTAAATTTCCACTGGTTACTTAATTTTACATATGGTAATGTATATGTTTCAATGCTACTTTCTTAATTCATCCCACCTTCTCCTTCCCGCACCATGTCCACAAGTCTGTTCTCTATGTTTGCATCTCCACTGCTGCCCTGCAGACAGGTTCATCAGTACCATCTTTCTAGATTCCATATATGTGCATTAATATATGATATTTCTCTTTCTGAACTTACTTCACTTGGTATAATAGGCTTAGATTCATCTACCTTGTTAGAACTGAGTCAAATGTGTTCCTTTTTATGGCTGAGTAATATTCCATTGTGGAGAAGGCAGTGGCACCCCACTCCGGTACTCTTGCCTGGAAAATCCCATGGAAAGAGGAGCCTGGTAGGCTGCAGTCCATGGGGTCGCTAAGAGTCGGACATGACTGAGCGACTTCACTTTCACTTTTTACTTTCATGCACTGGAGAAGGAAATGGCAACCCACACAGTGCTCTTGCCTGGAGAAT